ACCCATTAGAAGGACATTTTTGTAATTTGGGATTTTAAATACCCAAATAAGATTTTAGGTTCTCTTCCTCTCCCTCATTCTGCAATTCATGTTTTTTGGGTGTTTGGGAGAGCTCCTTTTAGGTTTTTTCGTTTTCTCTCTTTGCTTATCTTCATTTTGTTATGAACTTGTTTTTGGATTAATGAAATACATTTCTGCAGCTTACTTGTTTGTCTATTTTCACCTCTGCACTTTCATTCTCCATTCTAAATTTTGTTTTCCCCAAATACATTTTTCCCCAATTGCGTTTTTGATTCTATTACGTTTTCTGCTTGCAATTTGTGCATTGAATTTTGTTTTCCAAGTTGCATTTCGTTTCTGCATTGCATTTCATTTTTATGATTTAGTTTAGGGTTTCGTTTCTAATTAATGGAGGCTTAATCTGTTTGGTTTGGGCACTATGATATTGCGTTGTTTAATGAGATTTTGTGCTGTATTACGATTATGCATTACTTTTGACTTTGCATCTCTGATCTGTTTGGTTTGTTGCAAATTCGTCTCGCTTAGTGATGAATGTTGCGTGTTTGAACTGTAGTTGCTTAATCTGCAATGTTGAGGTTTGATTATGTGCAATTGCGTTTGTTTAATACGCATTTACAAAAATTGGGTTTAGTCTTCGCTTAGTAGGCTAATCAGAGTTGGATTAAGGGTTAGTGGAGCAATTAATTATTGGCAATCAGGGATTGGAATAATTATAATTGAACTAATGTCCAACCTGTATTTAATTCGTGTTTAATCTGTGTTAATTGTTGTGTCAATTTCAATTAGTAAAATTGTCCACATAACCCCCCCACTACGTGTTAGACTTAATTCTTGAACCACTATTTGGTCCTTGAGAGACGGCCTAGGAGTTCCTAGTCTATACTGCACTTAATTGCATATTAATTCCTGAACCACTATTCTATCCTAAAAGTCTCTCTACTATGCATCTCTATTTGATTTTGAGTTTCTAGGGTTTTTAAACACACATATCTCCCTCTCCCTCTCTCTATCTGTTATTATTTATAAATCAACTCCACCCTATCTTTAATATTTTATCTCTTATTATAATATATTTTTAAAACGGAATCTATGTATAATTTTTAATTCCCTTATATCTCATGTTTTCTAGCCTTTAATTTTATTTTATTTAATTCTAACTCTTTTACTTCCTATACCTTGTTATTTAATTTCTAAACCAATTAATTAAAAGTAAAAGACTATTTTGCCCCTAGGCCAAGATATAAATATAATTAAAGGAAATAACATATTAATTATGTCTTAATACAACAGTACACTCAAGAACACTAATTACCAAACAAAAACACCAAAGTCTCAAGACTATCTTATTTCTAAGACTCCTATTTTCCTGGATCTTATAGTATCCTCCAAATACACTCATCTAGTTGAGTTTCACCCACTCTTGGTTTCCACTCGACAATCTTGGTATCAACCTGATACGCTACTTAGTAATCGTTCAACTCAACTAAGTTAATCAACAAGTGTTTGAATTCTCTTTAGAATGTGTAATCAATCAGATTGCTTACAAGTCTTTAGATGATTACTCTCGTAGAGAGGATATGTGATCAATACAATTCAATCTAATAGACTCACTAAGTGTTTTCTCTCTTCTTTCTTCTTACAATAGTAAGTTTGTATATCAATGAAGCTTGAGAGTGTTTCTAATATTGAGCTTTTTCTCTTCTCAGATATTCTCTTTTGAGTTCGTGTGCTTTTATGAGTTTTTCTCTCTACGAGGATTTCTTATGCTCTTTTTTTTTGTAAGTTATTCTCTTGATTCTTTCTTCGACTCATCTTCTATTTAAAGGCTTCTCAAAAAGATATTCTTTAGATAGAACTTTGGCCTTGATTCTTGAGTTTTCTTGGTCTTTTCGTATGAAGTAGTCGTTTGTTAAAGTCAACTTGTCATTTTTAGTACTTTGAGAAAAATAGGTAATAATATTTATGTGGCACGACTTTTGAGGGAGAAAACATTCCGTTAATGTCTTCTTTGTTCCTAACGTCTACTTCTGATTTGTATAGGATGGAGCAGGTGGATGCATCTAATAGGAAATTTGCACAAAGTAAAGTAGATATGCATGTAGCAGATACGTTTTATCTCTTATCACTTTTTGTTGTTTTTAAACGTTGAATATTTAATGACATTTAATGTTTGTTCAGAACAACAAAGTGCTTTTTATGTTTTTCATTGTTCAAGTAGGATTTTATCATTTGAGTTTCACACTAAGATAACAAGCAATTCATTGAAGGATTCATTGTTGGATTAAATGGATCGTTTAGCAAATGGTATCGTCTAGCCTATGTAAACGGTTTAAGATTCTGCTCTATTTAGCAAGTGTGTTTGGCAAGAAGTCTTCTATCACAAGTTTTTGGAATTCTAATTGAGACTTTCAAAGTGCTTTCCAAAAACATTTTCTAGACATTTTTACCTTCTTAACTATATTAAGAGTTGATTCATTATCGTCTGGTACGGTATAACATTTGCGTTTACCAAAACTATCATTAGCACCTTAACTTGGCAATCGTTTAATGGTGTGTCCAATTTATGCCTGGTGTTTTTCTAAGACTTGGCCTAAGTTACTTGGTTTTCAGAGTATTTTCATTCATTACCTATATTCCAGCTATTCTAATATGTTAGTGATAACATTATCATATGTTCATTTCATTTAATGTTGTTTGTTAGACCTCAAAACATATAAGAGTGTTTAGACAAATCAATCTTATAAACGATCTTGTCTTAACAATGGTGTTCAGTAGTATAGATTGTCCTAACCTCCACTTCCAAAGACACATTCTCAACCCCAAATCTATAGCTTGAATCATTCTCTATTTCTGCCTAACTATTTATGGTTGATACACTAAAGTCATTTTTCATACACTTTTCACTACCTCTTGTAAGTTTTACCAAAATCTAAAGATAGCCTTGGGTCTCAATGTAAAACATGATAGTTATCACTTCACACTACCTTATTCCATCCTTGAAGTACCCTCCAACTAACTTGATCACACATGACTCCTGGTATAATGACAAGAAGTGAACACTCTTGGTCACCATATTCACAAGCACCCTCATAACATCATGCTCAGTTTATTGACTTTGGCCAGTGGGTACAAAGTCCATAACAATGTTATCCCACTTTTAAATTAAAACTTTCAATTGTTGCAAGGACAAAGCCCATTTAGACATTCCATCTTCATTTTCTAATCCATTAACCTGTAGACATCCCTTAACAACATCTTGGTTTAACTTGAAATCATTTGTTTGATCAATACTTAACATCTTTATGGTACTTCTCAACCTTGAATTGTCCGATTTTCCTTTTCCCAATCATTTTGAAACACTCATTAGCTATAGTCAAGCAACTACATGAGTGAGAATCGTCGCTTAGTGTCGTGTCACGAATATGCCACTATTTTGATGATTTAATGTTGGTGCTTACCCCACCTATACTACCACTCAATGTCATGACAATAGTTTTCTAGATTTACAGAATTTAACTTGCATAATCACTCAATTTGGTACTTCCTAGTTTTTCTTATCCCAAATAATTATGAAAGCCTACCATGAGATGACCAATCTAACCAATTTCTAGAGAGATTATGTGTTTTGAAATAATAAAACTCATTTATAAAACCTCCTATTTATATACACCCTTTTAAAAATTAAATTAATCGAGTCTTACTATTTTTCAACTCTTATATCAATTTTAAAATACAATTTTCTAGGTCCACACAATTATAATATAATTGACTAAGTTATAATAATATTATTATATCACGTTATAATGTAGTTGATTATGTTTTGTTTAAATAAACTTTTATTGTAGTAACGATATATTTATAACTTTCTCTTTGTTACGTAGTTTTTGTTTTATTTCTTTACATATTTGTTTGAGGGTGAGTTGAAATATGTTTTTTATATAAATTAGTTCTGTTATTATTTTTTTTATAAGTTATTGGATATTATTTGGGAGATATTCACTTTTGTTTACTCATCCGAAACCAAACACAATGTTAGTGATACCAACAACGTGCAAGAAAAAAAAATTGAAGATTAAATGTTTTGATTCCAAGTCTCTCCAAAACACGAGATTAGGGTTAATCATCGCTCTCTAGAGGTATTATTTATTTTGGAGATTGAAGCTCCGTTACCATTTTGTCTTTAAAAGATGTCTCAAAGGATGAAGGAATAATGAGTATTTAAATTATACTTGACTTCGACTCTTAGGCGATCTGAGAATATTGGATGTATCAGAACAAACCCCCTAGTTGAGGACAATGGAAACTTTCATTCTCACAGACCAGACCAATGTTTCGATCCCAAGTCTGTTTAGATATCATTAGCATCAATCTTTACATTCTTAAAGTATTGTTCGCTTTAGAGATTCGAGTTTCATTATGATTTTATCCTTAAAAAACACGTCGAGAGATGAAAAGAGATTTAAACTGTGTTTGATATCGGTGTATTTGAGTTTTGAGTTTTTAAACTACTAAAATCTATTTTTAAGATTGTCACATACCACAAATATTAGATAATTGTTTGACACACAGTTACTGATGAAGTTGGAGAGGAAGGACTCATTCACATATTTTAAAAGAAAAAAACTGAGGACTAAATTCACGAGTCTAAAACACCTGAGTGAAAAAATGCACTGCTATCCCTCAATTGCACTGCCATAATACGTTGTAAGTGAGAGAGATTGTAAGTTCAACCTCTCGACTAACATAATACGTTGAGAAAATTGCACTGCCATCCCTCAATTGTAATACAATTATACCTTACAGTCTTAAATTTTTTACCTGTTAAACTATGTGTCTATAAGGGAACTTTCGTCAAAACAAAGATGCAACATTTTTACATTAAACTCTGAAACTAAAGAACATCTAAATAAGTCTCTAACAGCACAATAAGGTGGTAATATAAACATTATTACGACATCAAACATACAAGCTGAGAAGTGAACATAACTATGTGCAACTTTAGCAGATAAACATAACTGATATTTGACTGAAGATAATCTACGTCGTCTTAGAAAAATCCAATCCAACGCTCACTGTTGAGACTGCAGAGTAGAAATGCAGAAGTAGCATCAAAGAGATCAGTAAGAAACCAATCACGATTCTTCAAAATAAACAGTTAAGAGATTCGCAATACCAGATAACGTTTCTTGAATCTATCAACGATTTCCTGGGGTTCTAATTTTGTCTCTGTATAAGCATCAATCTTGTTAACCTCCTGTAAGAGAAACATACGATATTGCTTTAGTAACCAGTGTATCCCAAGGGTTATTACTTGGTAGTTATGCAGGTTCAAATGGAGCAATCTGTCAGCTGTTGTGCAGCAAATTGAGAAATTTGAAACAAGAGCAATTTCCCCAAAAAATAGAACCTCTTTTTTACATAAAACTGAGTTTAGTGTACCTCAATCCACGTTGCAAGTTTTGGCCTTCCTTCGGTGATGTCATGTTTGAACACGTCAACAGAGACAGGTTGGAATCTTTCAACAAATGGAATGTATGCAATATCCACCTGATCATCACAAATATTTTTATATGATACAAAAGCTATGGTCATTGATGTAATCACGTATGATAATAGTATTCTACATTGGGGTCAAACCATGACTACTTTCTTTCATCTTATTGAAATGTTTGCCTTTTGGATAGAGATATTAAAGATCACGAAATACAGAGTTGGTGTTAACTAAGATATATTAAAATACATTAATATCTTTAATGTATTACAATAGAATTTATAGTACTATCATAATTCTAAAAGCTAAAGAGGAAATATGGAAATCAATGCTCGAGGATAATAAGATATGCTAAGGTATTTTGATTTATTCCAACACATTAGATGCATCACGACAAGCATTAGTAATCACAGCCTGAAAAGCAGCAAGTTTTTAAGAGGAAATCGAAAATCAAAGATTATTGAAATGATTTTAACTCACCAAACTGAATTGACCAAGAAAGAACGGCCCATCATCAAATTTACCAAGAGCATTCTCCAAGTAATCAAAGGCAGAACCTGATTTAAATCGCCATGGTAAGGACCCACTTGTATTTGTGTAGAAAATGAAAAGGGAAAATTTCCTATAGTTATGAACTTAAATATATCGCTTACTAGCTTGCTGTACAACACCCCCTTTCAATGAAGAGGACGCGTCATTGTTGAATGTATCAACATGGGATAATAGTTGTTCACCAAACTCTTTCTTAGCAGGATCCTAGAAAAATTTGCACTCAACATCATTAATTCATTCTAACAAAGAGATGAGAGAGGCCATGAAGGGCCAAAAGAGAATGTGCAGTTTCTAGTTCTTACACCAGGAAACAAAGGTGTCCCTTCAAAGTTGGCATCTACATATTTGATCAAATCAAGACTTTCTCCCAAAACCTTGCCATTGTGCTCCAATGATGGCACCTACAAATGAATTCTATTTTAGGGAAACAAATTCAACTTGCTAAATCAAACCAAATCAAATCAAAATAGCAAATTAGAACCCTTTAATTACCCTCATTTGTCTAAGTTACCTTATTTTCAGGGTAGACTTTCTCCTTATACCAAGCTGGCCTATCTTGAAGATCAATAGGAACCAATTTGATCTTGTCTTGTAGTCTCTGTAGTTTCCATTACCAATACGAGAAATAAAAGTGACAGAATAAGAACATTAAATAAGAGTAAATAAATAGTCTATGTGTAGACAGTGCAGAAGGTTGTTAGAATGTTATTTAGTTACAGACTGGATAACTTTTATAAAAACTACTTCAAAAAGGTTATTTCAACAATAATAATGTCTTATTCAGATGCTTTACTCAGTAATTAAACTCAAAATCATAATAAACCACAAGAAGCACGCACTTAGAACATGGCAAATTAAANGGCTAATCAGAGTTGGATTAAGGGTTAGTGGAGCAATTAATTATTGGCAATCAGGGATTGGAATAATTATAATTGAACTAATGTCCAACCTGTATTTAATTCGTGTTTAATCTGTGTTAATTGTTGTGTCAATTTCAATTAGTAAAATTGTCCACATAACCCCCCCACTACGTGTTAGACTTAATTCTTGAACCACTATTTGGTCCTTGAGAGACGGCCTAGGAGTTCCTAGTCTATACTGCACTTAATTGCATATTAATTCCTGAACCACTATTCTATCCTAAAAGTCTCTCTACTATGCATCTCTATTTGATTTTGAGTTTCTAGGGTTTTTAAACACACATATCTCCCTCTCCCTCTCTCTATCTGTTATTATTTATAAATCAACTCCACCCTATCTTTAATATTTTATCTCTTATTATAATATATTTTTAAAACGGAATCTATGTATAATTTTTAATTCCCTTATATCTCATGTTTTCTAGCCTTTAATTTTATTTTATTTAATTCTAACTCTTTTACTTCCTATACCTTGTTATTTAATTTCTAAACCAATTAATTAAAAGTAAAAGACTATTTTGCCCCTAGGCCAAGATATAAATATAATTAAAGGAAATAACATATTAATTATGTCTTAATACAACAGTACACTCAAGAACACTAATTACCAAACAAAAACACCAAAGTCTCAAGACTATCTTATTTCTAAGACTCCTATTTTCCTGGATCTTATAGTATCCTCCAAATACACTCATCTAGTTGAGTTTCACCCACTCTTGGTTTCCACTCGACAATCTTGGTATCAACCTGATACGCTACTTAGTAATCGTTCAACTCAACTAAGTTAATCAACAAGTGTTTGAATTCTCTTTAGAATGTGTAATCAATCAGATTGCTTACAAGTCTTTAGATGATTACTCTCGTAGAGAGGATATGTGATCAATACAATTCAATCTAATAGACTCACTAAGTGTTTTCTCTCTTCTTTCTTCTTACAATAGTAAGTTTGTATATCAATGAAGCTTGAGAGTGTTTCTAATATTGAGCTTTTTCTCTTCTCAGATATTCTCTTTTGAGTTCGTGTGCTTTTATGAGTTTTTCTCTCTACGAGGATTTCTTATGCTCTTTTTTTTTGTAAGTTATTCTCTTGATTCTTTCTTCGACTCATCTTCTATTTAAAGGCTTCTCAAAAAGATATTCTTTAGATAGAACTTTGGCCTTGATTCTTGAGTTTTCTTGGTCTTTTCGTATGAAGTAGTCGTTTGTTAAAGTCAACTTGTCATTTTTAGTACTTTGAGAAAAATAGGTAATAATATTTATGTGGCACGACTTTTGAGGGAGAAAACATTCCGTTAATGTCTTCTTTGTTCCTAACGTCTACTTCTGATTTGTATAGGATGGAGCAGGTGGATGCATCTAATAGGAAATTTGCACAAAGTAAAGTAGATATGCATGTAGCAGATACGTTTTATCTCTTATCACTTTTTGTTGTTTTTAAACGTTGAATATTTAATGACATTTAATGTTTGTTCAGAACAACAAAGTGCTTTTTATGTTTTTCATTGTTCAAGTAGGATTTTATCATTTGAGTTTCACACTAAGATAACAAGCAATTCATTGAAGGATTCATTGTTGGATTAAATGGATCGTTTAGCAAATGGTATCGTCTAGCCTATGTAAACGGTTTAAGATTCTGCTCTATTTAGCAAGTGTGTTTGGCAAGAAGTCTTCTATCACAAGTTTTTGGAATTCTAATTGAGACTTTCAAAGTGCTTTCCAAAAACATTTTCTAGACATTTTTACCTTCTTAACTATATTAAGAGTTGATTCATTATCGTCTGGTACGGTATAACATTTGCGTTTACCAAAACTATCATTAGCACCTTAACTTGGCAATCGTTTAGTGGTGTGTCCAATTTATGCCTGGTGTTTTTCTAAGACTTGGCCTAAGTTACTTGGTTTTCAGAGTATTTTCATTCATTACCTATATTCCAGCTATTCTAATATGTTAGTGATAACATTATCATATGTTCATTTCATTTAATGTTGTTTGTTAGACCTCAAAACATATAAGAGTGTTTAGACAAATCAATCTTATAAACGATCTTGTCTTAACAATGGTGTTCAGTAGTATAGATTGTCCTAACCTCCACTTCCAAAGACACATTCTCAACCCCAAATCTATAGCTTGAATCATTCTCTATTTCTGCCTAACTATTTATGGTTGATACACTAAAGTCATTTTTCATACACTTTTCACTACCTCTTGTAAGTTTTACCAAAATCTAAAGATAGCCTTGGGTCTCAATGTAAAACATGTTAGTTATCACTTCACACTACCTTATTCCATCCTTGAAGTACCCTCCAACTAACTTGATCACACATGACTCCTGGTATAATGACAAGAAGTGAACACTCTTGGTCACCTTATTCACAAGCACCCTCATAACATCATGCTCAGTTTATTGACTTTGGCCAGTGGGTACAAAGTCCATAACAATGTTATCCCACTTTTAAATTAAACCTTTCAATTGTTGCAAGGACAAAGCCCATTTAGACATTCCATCTTCATTTTCTAATCCATTAACCTGTAGCCATCCCTTAACAACATCTTGGTTTAACTTGAAATCATTTGTTTGATCAATACTTAACATCTTTATGGTACTTCTCAACCTTGAATTGTCCGATTTTCCTTTTCCCAATCATTTTGAAACACTCATTAGCTATAGTCAAGCAACTACATGAGTGAGAATCGTCGCTTAGTGTCGTGTCACGAATATGCCACTATTTTGATGTTTTAATGTTGGTGCTTACCCCACCTATACTACCACTCAATGTCATGACAATAGTTTTCTAGATTTACAGAATTTAACTTGCATAATCACTCAATTTGGTACTTCCTAGTTTTTCTTATCCCAAATAATTATGAAAGCCTACCATGAGATGACCAATCTAACCAATTTCTAGAGAGATTATGTGTTTTGAAATAATAAAACTCATTTATAAAACCTCCTATTTATATACACCCTTTTAAAAATTAAATTAATCGAGTCTTACTATTTTTCAACTCTTATATCAATTTTAAAATACAATTTTCTAGGTCCACACAATTATAATATAATTGACTAAGTTATAATAATATTATTATATCACGTTATAATGTAGTTGATTATGTTTTGTTTAAATAAACTTTTATTGTAGTAACGATATATTTATAACTTTCTCTTTGTTACGTAGTTTTTGTTTTATTTCTTTACATATTTGTTTGAGGGTGAGTTGAAATATGTTTTTTATATAAATTAGTTCTGTTATTATTTTTTTTATAAGTTATTGGATATTATTTGGGAGATATTCACTTTTGTTTACTCATCCGAAACCAAACACAATGTTAGTGATACCAACAACGTGCAAGAAAAAAAAATTGAAGATTAAATGTTTTGATTCCAAGTCTCTCCAAAACACGAGATTAGGGTTAATCATCGCTCTCTAGAGGTATTATTTATTTTGGAGATTGAAGCTCCATTACCATTTTGTCTTTAAAAGATGTCTCAAAGGATGAAGGAATAATGAGTATTTAAATTATACTTGACTTCGACTCTTAGGCGATCTGAGAATATTGGATGTATCAGAACAAACCCCCTAGTTGAGGACAATGGAAACTTTCATTCTCACAGACCGGACCAATGTTTCGATCCCAAGTCTGTTTAGATATCATTAGGATCAATCTTTACATTCTTAAAGTATTGTTCGCTTTAGAGATTCGAGTTTCATTATGATTTTATCCTTAAAAAACACGTCGAGAGATGAAAAGAGATTTAAACTGTGTTTGATATCGGTGTATTTGAGTTTTGAGTTTTTAAACTACTAAAATCTATTTTTAAGATTGTCACATACCACAAATATTAGATAATTGTTTGACACACAGTTACTGATGAAGTTGGAGAGGAAGGACTCATTCACATATTTTAAAAGAAAAAAACTGAGGACTAAATTCACGAGTCTAAAACACCTGAGTGAAAAAATGCACTGCTATCCCTCAATTGCACTGCCATAATACGTTGTAAGTGAGAGAGATTGTAAGTTCAACCTCTCGACTAACATAATACGTTGAGAAAATTGCACTGCCATCCCTCAATTGTAATACAATTATACCTTACAGTCTTAAATTTTTTACCTGTTAAACTATGTGTCTATAAGGGAACTTTCGTCAAAACAAAGATGCAACATTTTTACATTAAACTCTGAAACTAAAGAACATCTAAATAAGTCTCTAACAGCACAATAAGGTGGTAATATAAACATTATTACGACATCAAACATACAAGCTGAGAAGTGAACATAACTATGTGCAACTTTAGCAGATAAACATAACTGATATTTGACTGAAGATAATCTACGTCGTCTTAGAAAAATCCAATCCAACGCTCACTGTTGAGACTGCAGAGTAGAAATGCAGAAGTAGCATCAAAGAGATCAGTAAGAAACCAATCACGATTCTTCAAAATAAACAGTTAAGAGATTCGCAATACCAGATAACGTTTCTTGAATCTATCAACGATTTCCTGGGGTTCTAATTTTGTCTCTGTATAAGCATCAATCTTGTTAACCTCCTGTAAGAGAAACATACGATATTGCTTTAGTAACCAGTGTATCCCAAGGGTTATTACTTGGTAGTTATGCAGGTTCAAATGGAGCAATCTGTCAGCTGTTGTGCAGCAAATTGAGAAATTTGAAACAAGAGCAATTTCCCCAAAAAATAGAACCTCTTTTTTACATAAAACTGAGTTTAGTGTACCTCAATCCACGTTGCAAGTTTTGGCCTTCCTTCGGTGATGTCATGTTTGAACACGTCAACAGAGACAGGTTGGAATCTTTCAACAAATGGAATGTATGCAATATCCACCTGATCATCACAAATATTTTTATATGATACAAAAGCTATGGTCATTGATGTAATCACGTATGATAATAGTATTCTACATTGGGGTCAAACCATGACTACTTTCTTTCATCTTATTGAAATGTTTGCCTTTTGGATAGAGATATTAAAGATCACGAAATACAGAGTTGGTGTTAACTAAGATATATTAAAATACATTAATATCTTTAATGTATTACAATAGAATTTATAGTACTATCATAATTCTAAAAGCTAATGAGGAAATATGGAAATCAATGCTCGAGGATAATAAGATATGCTAAGGTATTTTGATTTATTCCAACACATTAGATGCATCACGACAAGCATTAGTAATCACAGCCTGAAAAGCAGCAAGTTTTTAAGAGGAAATCGAAAATCAAAGATTATTGAAATGATTTTAACTCACCAAACTGAATTGACCAAGAAAGAACGGCCCATCATCAAATTTACCAAGAGCATTCTCCAAGTAATCAAAGGCAGAACCTGATTTAAATCGCCATGGTAAGGACCCACTTGTATTTGTGTAGAAAATGAAAAGGGAAAATTTCCTATAGTTATGAACTTAAATATATCGCTTACTAGCTTGCTGTACAACACCCCCTTTCAATGAAGAGGACGCGTCATTGTTGAATGTATCAACATGGGATAATAGTTGTTCACCAAACTCTTTCTTAGCAGGATCCTAGAAAAATTTGCACTCAACATCATTAATTCATTCTAACAAAGAGATGAGAGAGGCCATGAAGGGCCAAAAGAGAATGTGCAGTTTCTAGTTCTTACACCAGGAAACAAAGGTGTCCCTTCAAAGTTGGCATCTACATATTTGATCAAATCAAGACTTTCTCCCAAAACCTTGCCATTGTGCTCCAATGATGGCACCTACAAATGAATTCTATTTTAGGGAAACAAATTCAACTTGCTAAATCAAACCAAATCAAATCAAAATAGCAAATTAGAACCCTTTAATTACCCTCATTTGTCTAAGTTACCTTATTTTCAGGGTAGACTTTCTCCTTATACCAAGCTGGCCTATCTTGAAGATCAATAGGAACCAATTTGATCTTGTCTTGTAGTCTCTGTAGTTTCCATTACCAATACGAGAAATAAAAGTGACAGAATAAGAACATTAAATAAGAGTAAATAAATAGTCTATGTGTAGACAGTGCAGAAGGTTGTTAGAATGTTATTTAGTTACAGACTGGATAACTTTTATAAAAACTACTTCAAAAAGGTTATTTCAACAATAATAATGTCTTATTCAGATGCTTTACTCAGTAATTAAACTCAAAATCATAATAAACCACAAGAAGCACGCACTTAGAACATGGCAAATTAAAAATGGACATCATAAAAAGGACATAACAAAGAAACAACCTTGTAGTTCCTAGTTATCCATACACGCTGTGCATAGGGGCAAGAATAACTGATGTACAACCTAAATAAACAATAAAAGATAATAAGGAAATTGGCATTTTAAAATTGAAGAACCATGAAAACGATGAACTTTGTATTGAGATGGAAACAACCTGGTGGTGCCATCAAAAAGAGGAGGTGGGTCGGAGGTGGATGTTAATGGAGGAGGACGAACAGCTTGCACGCTACTGTTGGATACAAAGAGAGAGCATTAGAGAAGAACATAATATTGGAATAAAAATGTAACACAGGATAATTTAGAAAATGAAGAATTTTAATACAGAGTTGCCATTGACGTTGTTCTTCACAGGATATTAACGATTGAATGGACACAATCAGAATATAAAAGATAAAAAGAAACTTACATATATTATTTGACCATTTATTCAATTTTCATAGTCGTGTATTTTCAAATATAAAAGATAAAAAGAAACTTACATACATTATTTATATAAATAAAACTAAAAAATAAAGAAACAAAAGTTTTAAGATAAAATACTCTTAGGCATTGTAAATTTTACCATATAATGATAATAAAACTTTGGAATAAATGTTTAAAACAAAAACTAAAATTTAATTTTAAAGTGATGTTAAAAATCAGTATGGACTTGACAGTTCAGTTATGTTGATATCCTAAAGTAAATCCTTTGTTATCATATAAATTTAATTAAAAAGAAAACATAAATAAAAGAATACAAAGATGAGAATCGACTTAAACCAACGATAAAAATTACATTTCACAAAATATATAAATGAAAAAAAAAATCTACATAAATACATATAGGTAAAACACTAAATCATGTATAATTTATAAATCAAGACTAAATTAGCTAATTGATCAATACAATGATTTCCTTTATGAAAAACATGATAAACTTTGAATTGCATATGTTTAAAAAAAATGTAAGTGTCAATGTTATTTCTTTCTAAGACTTTAAGAAACCACTCGTTGATCCAAAAAATCATGATACACTAAATAAAAATTATTCTCCAACCAAAGTCTTTGAAAAGTCTTTCCTCCAAGCATGCTCCAATGCATAAATGGCCCTTGTAAATTTGACATAAATAGAAATTTTTATTCTAAAAAAGTTGAAAAATTACTCACATATTCACTCAACTTCCTCTAAGAATACTAACACATGAAACTAAATTAGAACAAGCCCTAGATGCACCATCAATATTCACCTTAAACCAATTGACAGATCTTGTTATATTACGTCCATAAATAAAACCACCCAACATTCCCTAGCTTGAATATTAAAATACTTTAGTACCAAAAAGTCATAGACAAATTATTCATATGATTCTTAGATTTATTTCAAACTAGACACACTAACTCTTAAGTTAAAAAATAGCATAAGGAATCACAATTGAATCCTCAAATCTATTATGATTTCTCATCCTCCAAATCATCCAAACAACTATAATAATATTACAACCACTTTAATCACTTTAAGAAAAGGATTATGAGAACACTTCATAAATTGAATAACCAAATCTAAAAAAAAACTACAAATTCTAAATAACTTTTTTCAACCATGTTCGTAACCGTATTACAATAGAATAATACAAGAACAAATGAGAGATATATTTAATATTATTATCATACAAATAACATAGAGGTTTCATATATAACTAAAACATCATAATAGAAAAACAAAGTTTTATCACTCCTAACCTCTTGTCACTTAACAAATTCATACCTACTTATAAAGACTAATTAAACAAACAAGACGAAAAAAGTGGAAAAAAATTATATCTTACACATGTAAACGACATAAATAAGAGGATTAATAAATTCAAACACATCATAAACATTTCACTAAACAATATATTTTAATCACAATCACGTCAAATCACTAGTGCAATGAACGGAAATGACATCGGTTAGTTTCGTTTATACGCACCGGTTTTACAACCGGTGCATATGGAGGCGAGGTAAAAAGGATACGTTTAATACCTCGGTTCTAAACTGGGTCAAAAAAGAATAGATTTTCGCATTGGTTATCTTTTGAACCGAGTCAGTATCTTAGAAAATTCAATAAAAAAAATTTCAGAAAACTGCCGATCCATTTTCTGGGTCTTTTCCTCAATCCTTTAACACAGCAGCCATGTCTCAACGTAGAATTCGAACTCAAGCATTTTCAGTTATAATTCCAAAACACAAACCAGCTCCAAAAATCAGAATAAGATACATCACAGAACAGATAAAACCAAAAATCATCGTGAATAAATTGTTCATACTCTTCAAATCACTCATCCTCTACAGAAACTCATTTACATCTTCAACTCTGTGTTAGAAAGAACCCCCTACTCTTCAAACTAGCAACTTTCATCCTTTGCAGAAACTCATTTTCATAGATGAGCCCAGTGCAACACAATCTGCTTCAGAACTGTCAAATTCATACAAGCCAGCTTCATGAAACCCTGCTGCCGATTGAGCCATAGCCGCCAACCCACCAGGCGGTGTGACATTGTTTCCCGTTGCCCTCACCTCCGCCGCCTGAATCACGGAAGCGTCACTCTGATCCACCGCTTTGTGGCACCAGGCGGTCCACGAACAACACTAGATCTGAGATCGCGTCCGCTGGTGGAGTGAGATCGCGTCCAGTTGGGTGGCGATTGGTGGTGGGGTTGGGGTTGCGGGGTGGGAGGCGTGACGGGTTGGGGTTGCGGGGTGGGAGGCGTGACGGGTGGGGGTTGCGGGGTGGGAGGCGTGACGGGTTGGGGTTGCGGGGTGGGAGGCAGCCATGGCTTTCGGAGGCGTTGAAGGAGATGTGGCGACGGCGGAGCAACGGAGTGGTGGCGACGGAGAGGCGGAGCGGCGGAGTGGTGGCAAAGCAACGGAGAGAAGAAGAAGAGGAACTGTGAGAAGGAGATTTGAGCGAGAGAGAAGAAGAGGAAGAGTGAGAAGGGTACCGTGAAAGGAGATCTGAGCGGCGGAGCGGCAGAGTGGTGGCTTTGAGATTTGAGCGTGAGCGAGAGAGAAGAAGAGGAAGAGTGAAGGAGATCGCGTGAGCGAGAAAGAAGAGGAAGAGTGAGAAGGGTATGAGTATACTGCCTCGGTTAATATTTACCTAAGGTAAGAGAGGTATACTGACTCGGTTTCAAGATACCCGGTGCCTAAAGTTTCGAAAAATAATTAAAATTTAAAAATATATACGGGTTATATGCCTCGGTTGGCGCGTAACAGATGTTGAAAATCATTTTGGCTTCGGTTATACTGATACACAAGGCATATAAGTTGTCTAAAACTACAAAAATGCCACCGCGCTTTTATACGCTTCGGTTTCAGTAAAACCGAGGCATATAGAGCGCATTAAAAAGCTTCTTTTTTAATTGTGAATACACAAATAAATGCATATTGTACCATACGATTAATGCTTTAAATACCTACATGGCTCTATCATAGGGCCGCTTGAGCACCAACTTCCGATACCGACAAACCACCGGGATTTTTCATATTTTTCTCTGGGAAATTTTTCCTTCAGTTGATATTTTTTGCTTTTATTTTTTTCATTAGATTCAGTCGAATTTTATTTTCCCACTAGACCTGAATACTGTTTATTGAGATAAATCGGTTCCTACGGGCCGATTTGATTCATGATTTTTTGACATCTTAAATATTCTTGTGAGAATATGTTCTATAAAATTAAATGGATAGTTTTAAATAGTTAATGTTTAATAATTTTGTTACTTGTGGAGTACAAATGTAAAGAGTTTATTGGGTCCATATGTTTGATGCCCCTGCACTGCAGACGAACATAGGAGGTACTTTTTTGTTCTGAAAGTTGTGAAAAATAAAATCACTTTATTCTTGTAATAGTCTCTCGGTGTGTGTATGTATTATTGCTACATTTTTTTCGTTATTAAAACTAGCCTTCACGATTCTTCAGGTACATTCCTATCACTTTTACAAGACTGTCTTAGAGTTCTTTCTTTTCTTAAAATACATACAGAAGAAATTAAAATAAAGTGAGCTTCTTTTCTTTTAACTATTAGTGACTTGTAAAAATTTGAGGACAATTTAATATAGTATATATAGGTTTATGTACAATATAATGTTATTTTATAATTTTTTCAACAATATTTGTATGGTATAAGTAGGTTTATGTACAATTAATATTTTAAATATTATTGGACAATTTGATGTATGAAATTTTCATAAATTATTTGTTTTGCTCAAATTATTGATTTTCAGGTAAATTAAATGGATAAGATGGTAAAATAAGGAAAAAATTAAAAAAAAAACTTTAATATCATGACATAGATGACCGATAAATGGATAGGTAAGGAAAAGTACGTCATAGAAAGCAAGGATATTATGACAGATAAACAAAGTACGTCATAATAACTTGAATATATTATGACAAGTAACCTAAAGTACGTAAAAAGACTTACTATAACAAAAATTTTCGCTACATTATAAAAAGTGTGAAACTTCTATGTCTGTCATAACTATGACGCAATAACACCTATCATAAAAGGTCCATTTTACCTGTCATAAAATGACATTTATGTATTAGTGAGACAATGATGTAGATGTTGTACCGCCATGTTTATGAGTTCAACTTTGTTAAGATACCAAATGCTAAAACTTCAAAAGAAGTATAAAATTTTCTAGAAAAAGAAAAAAAAGGAGATAACCAAGTGAAGGAAGTTTGACTTCAAATACTTAGGGGTAAGTTGGAGAACATGAGAATGACGGAGATAGAAGGAGTTTCTGAGTACATCACTCAGGTTGAAATCATGGTGAACCAACTCAGTAGAAACTGAGAAACGTCGATCAATGGATGAGTAGTGGAGAAACAAGTTGATGATGGATGAATGTGAGGTCATAGAAATGGATTAGAGGTGAATAAGTATTATGGGTGATAGAAACTGAATATGGAGGTACCCCTTTATCTTTAGAATTGTGGTTGAAGGAAGAAAAAGATTGAAATGAGGGAGTTAGAGATGAAAGAATTCGTGATTTACTCCACTTGTTGAAAAAGATAAAATGCTCTTAAGAGAGACGAATATAAAAGATAACGCAAAAGGTAGTTCATAAGTGCCTAGTATTAATTGATTTCAATGTTGAATTGACACTTATCTTGTTATAATTATATGTAAAGTTCATCTTAATCACCCCAACTTTACTTATTTTTCAAAAATACAAGAAATTAGAGAGTCAAAACTTAAATATGAAGAAAAACAGAGAAACTCAAGAACTTTTCAAGCTATCTGACATAACATAGTTGCAACGCTGAATGAGGGCTTGAGCTGCAAAGAGAAAATCTAACATGGTAGGTTTCCTCAAGCCCTGGCTTGAAGCTCAAGCCATGGAAAGTCCTTCATCATGAAGTAATCATAAGAAGGCTTCAGCCCAGGAACACATAAGTTAAGCCTTAGAGGAA